ACCACACTTGTTTCCACTATTTTCTCAAATGTTTACATACGGCACTTTAAACATTTTGGGTGCCCTTAAAAATTGCGACATATTGGCTTCGAATTAAGTCGCTTAATCAAATTACACTTTGCGGCAAGATTGATTGGCTAGTTGCGTTATAATTAAGCAGCCGAAGTGGTGGTTCCAAAACTAGCTGATTTGCATATGCAATTTGATTAAAAAACACTGAGTGGGTGGGCTATGGAGGTCACAAAACTACTAGTATTTTGCTCTAAAAGTTAGATTGCTGTAAAATGTGGTTTAGAGTATAGAAAAATCAAGCTTGCTGACTTCCGATGTTTTGATCAAATCACACATAAAATTACCACCAAAATTTCAACGTATTCTTCAATGAAGATGATCGATCCCGGATCCCTTTACTTCATTGAAGATGCGTAAAATGGCTACGAGCTCTCAAGCCTATGACATTCCAACGCCGTAATGACAGATCCAGCAACTCTTCCTATGGGGAGTCATACGAATAAATGCAAACAAACTTAATTAACCGAATGTGGTTAGACGCGCATTCACCGGGATGAATGCCAGGACTCGGCGACGGAGTCTCCCCGCCACCACGAATCTCGTATCGAATTTGCGCTCCTTTGTCTGGCCACTGTAGTTAGTACCAAAAGCACCTACTCGTCTCGTCCATTACACTTCTTGGACAGCGGTTAATTCAGTTAATTTTACGATGTCATCAACCAACTGGACAGCGGTACCTTTTCCAATTAAGAACCGAATATTTCAGGTGAATGCCCTTAAATCGTAATCTTTAATGCGTTTACCATGGTCGCCATTTAAATGGGGTCTTTCATCCGAAGCTGTTTTTATCTTTTCATTGAGGATGAATTTCATAGGGGAATGGTGGGGACGCTCACCAAAGACAGCAATGTTATTTGAAAAATAGAACCCTTGGATCTTGTCGTCAGTTGTATTGCTACGATGTATGTTCTAAGGCTCAGGGAAGCTGAGTCTATGAAGCGGTCCGCAAAAGGACACGCCGAAATTCTTTCTTTATTCAAATGTCTTCCTGAATACTTGGATCACAGCGTCGCAGAGCCCACTCGCTTTATCGCAAGGAATATGTGGATGAGGATAATTCATTGAGTTCTGCCAAGTTGACAGTGCTTGGCCACATAAAAAATCAGTGTTCATTCCGATTACTTAGACCTGATTTTCGGAGAGATCCATCGCTGTCCACCTCCATCAGAATGGAATAGAGTTAGAGTTCCATTGACATGTTGCGTTCTAGCACTGGAGCAGTGTACTTCATGCACGCTTAGCAGGCGCTGATCGACGATCCGCTCTTCTTCGACTGCGACCTTTTTTTCCTTTTGTTCTAGATAGAACGCAGGATATCTACGGAATTACTTGAGAAGGAAATACTTAGAGCAGTTCGTCTGGGTTCGTTAGGATTCTTACTGAACACTTGGCGATCTTAGCTGTCATAGTGAGATCTCTGCTAGGATTGTCCTCTTTACATTAATTTATATGTATGCTCTGCTAAGCCGGTAAATTATGTACATACATTATCTTAGCACTTTGAATACTTTGAAGAAAAATCTATTAGACTTGGCTGTGTTATCATAAACTCAAACTCGAAAACTCCAGGAGGTTAAGAAAAAAAGAAGTGGGGCAAGGTAAGAAGATTATTGTGAAAATGGATAGAGAGAGTGAAGAAGAGGACAAAAGTCTGGTCTTAACCATGCATATGAACTATGAAAATCAAGAAATGAAAACTGGGAAATAAGTGATACCCAGACAAACTCCATAAGTTTTCATAAAGTCAGCTTTATAGTTTCGCACGACCTGTTTACATACTTCCCACTTTGTTTAGCTTCATTTGGATATGTCTAACAAAAACAATTCAAAACATCATTTGAAATAGTTTTTGGCTTCGATTTTATTATTATTTTTTCCGTGAATTTTTTAATCCATCTTCCAATGCGCGCATCAAAATTAAACGAGCACAAAGAGTTTGTGTTGAACGAACACGCAAATCTCTTGTGACAACATAAATAACAAACACATGATTTAATAGTGGTGTGCACAGGATCAGCGCAGGATCACTAGGAAATTTACAACCGGGATTACAAGCAAAGCCGAGCGCTGTCTCAATAGTTGTGATTAAAGGAGAATACGCGTTTTCATGCATACACACAAACATAGAATATGGTATAAGTAAAAAGTGTGGTGAGGCAGCGCAGAGTGACAAAAGGAGTGCATAAAAGTAAAAATATAAAATAATAATAACGGCACCCCGACAATGTGGCACTCGAATAAAGTGATGATACACATGCAATAACAACACACACACATACACTCAAAATGCGAATATTCCACAAAGCCAAGGAGGGGTGCAAGCGGCAGTAAGGCAGCGGCTCGTGTGATTAGCTCGACACGCTTGCGCTCGCCGCTCTCTTAGGCCGGAAATGGGCTGAGCCGTGTTATAGTTTGCGGAGCCTTCCACTTTTTTAAGTTATATGGCGTTGTTTATATGTGTGTATATGGGTTTTATGAGCGCATGATTTCGTTATAGTTTTTTCATCACAATTTCACTTTTTCCTGGATATACGTTGCGCGGATTTGGCACATTTCGATGCGCAATAAATTTAGTTTCCTTTCTTTTACATGATTATTTTTTTTTTTACCATTTTATGCTGTTTGTTGTTGATATCCAGCTGTTTTTTAATTAAGCATGTTGTGCAGGGTTGATTTGGAGGGGTGGCCTGCTGTTGAACAATGCCCGACAAGTAAATTACGTCGGATAACATGACCGAGTTGTGTCACTTGCGGACAGCAGGGGCACCAATTTCAATAAGGCGGGATATGAAGAGGGATGTAGGGTAGAATAGGGAGCATGCTTTGTCCGTGGTGATGATGGTATATATCAGTTGTGACGTGAAAGCGAAAAGATATTTTTATGAGGAGAACACATAAATGTTTTGGAGAGTATATAAAGAAGGATAAAATGTTTCAGTGGCAACTTTGATAGTGAGACAGCATTCACAGGTATTTTTGATATAACAGATATGTGCTTTAAGGCAAGATCACTACCTAAATGACTCAAAAACGGCTGCTTGGCTACTCAGTATATTAAAAATATTAGCAACAAATCGAAAAATATACATTTAGATGAGTCAGAAACACCCTCCATACTTCTTTCCACCATTCGAAATACTTGAATATTTCGAAAATCAGAATGAGATAGAACAACGTCTCGGTTTTGACGGCTACCTTAGAAACTATAAAATGTTTCTTGGATCGATATTGTGAGTTTGGGTATACTTGGGTCTCTACTTACCTCTCGTTTGTCTCTACAGTGATTTGAAACAAAACCGTTGGATATACATTAAACTGGGTTAGAAACACATCTCCACATTTGCTTGTACCATGCAGAAACAATAACAACTAACGGGCCTATAACCACCTATGTATCAATATATATCGATAACAGGAAAGCTTGTTCTTAAATGAACTGGCTCACTCAAGTGACTCCATGAGAATCTTAATCGAAAGATTTTACTTCTAACGAAAATCAGTATATTGTGTAAAAAGCAAAGATTGTCAATGAGGTCGAAGATTGCAACCACCAAACCCAGTTAGATGCTCGTTCGAAGAGTTAGAGTTTGGACTTTTTAAAATGATATGCCACAAGTTCATTAGCCTACTCTGTAAACCCTAATAACTAACCTAGATTATTCCACAATTTATCACTGCTTTTTATGAACCTCTTCAATGTCCGAACGCTCAACTCGCTCGCCAAGCGCTCCGCCGCAATGATTGATGATGTACAAAGTCGCACTAAGCCCACTTAAGCATGAAATACAAAACGCAAATAGTTCCGTTGCGCAAGAGTGCAGCCTCTAGCGTAGGTGGCGTACATGCAACACCAGCGAGATGACCATTTAGCAGTGATAGTATTTGCATGCCACATACACCAAGAACAACAGCTGAAGCGGCATGCAATCTATAACAGATTAACCGATGTATCATGCCAACAACAACAGCAAAGCTGAACAAGCCCATAAGTCCACAATTCGGCCTCAGAAATCCGAGACACGTACATAAGCCTTAACTTGCAACAAAACATTTCGGAGACAGTTGGGCAAGGCGAAATTATCCTGCGCGGCAGTGGAGCAGCAAGTATGCTTTTAACGGGTCTTGTAAGCAGTTATGTAAGTTCTCACACATGCACATATGTATGTGTGTATACATGCTCTTGCTTCGCATTCATTGCAACACTCATGATTATCCGACTATGTGTTTCGGTTTTGTGCGGCATGTCACTGCTTTATGTCAATGTTGCACATATACATATATGTTGTCTAATACCATTGTTGTTGTAACGTATATACATACATACATATATACATACATATGGCAAATAAATACATACATTTGTACATTTGAAGGAACTCATTATATCGATCTACTTACACGGCCTTAATGTCGGCTAGTATTCTGTGGCATGTTGCATATTAATGCTTGTGTCATTAGCTGGTCACTGCTACCACTACATATTACTATAACTAAGTGTTGTATGATTGCAATGACATTTATCTACTCGCCGACATAGTTGTTTCCCATGCGATCGGCCTTTGAGCCTTCGCCTTCGCATGCAAGTGCTTGTCCTGTCTTTTGCTTTGTCTTTCTGCTTGTTTTTGGGATTTTGTTTTTGATCTTAATGACCATTAAGTAAAATGTGTGACAATATTGATTAACTGTATGCCTCGTGTGGCACTTAAGCTGGGTGAGAATTCTGCCCAAGGTTCATTATTATTGATTAAGACTTGTTTGGCTAGCTACTATGCACACGCAGTCGCAAAATTATACACAAATAAATATATTATATGTAAATTATAGAAATGCATTTGTAATTAAATATTATTATTATAGTTAATTACTTTAATGGTTAAGTATATATTCTGAAGCAATCGAGTTTCAAACATTATTTTTTTTTCTTACAGTTATTGGGCACTTGAAAGCATCTAACACTAAGGTAAGTCCTGGCACTTTTAACCTTTAAACACTGTTGAACGTATTCTTGAAATGAAAATGAAACCGATTTCAAACAAAACTAGAATATGATGTTCTTTTGGTTGCGTCGAAGCTATAATACCCTATACAGATGCATTTTTTATACCATAAATGAGTATGAAAAGATCAAGATCTTGATTTAGAACGGTTCGTATGAAAGCTATATGATAAAGTGAGCCGATCTTGACAATTTCTTCGCAGAAGGCGCTATTGCCTTAAAGAATAATCCTTCCAAATTTTTTGAAGATAACTCGTCAAACGAAAAAGTTTTCCTTACACAAACTTGCTTTCGATTGATCACTTTGTATGATAGCTATTTGCTATAGTTATTCGAGACCAATAAAATGTTCGGATATTGCAGCATTGCCTTGAAGAATAATGTGTGCTAAATCTCGGGGGAATTTCATGTGTAATAAAAAAAAATTCATATAAGGGCTTGACTTTGATCGATCAGTTTTTATGGGAGCTATATGCTATGCTGATCCGATATCGCTGATTCCGCCAACTGATAATCTTCTTGAAGAGCTAAAAAATTTTGCAAAATTTCAGATCGATATCTCAAAAACTGAGGGACGAATACAGACGTACAGACGGAGATGGCTAAACTGACTCAGATCGTCGCGCTGATTATTTATACCATATACATATGTATATACTCGTACTTTATAGGGTGCCCGACGTTCCCGTCTGGATGTTACGAACTTTTTGGCGAGCTGAATGGCCCTGTGCATCTCATAAAAATCTACAATTAACATTGTCAAATCTTAGCTTGGGACTGATACTGCTTAGCTTGATTCAAGTCATCCTACCTACTCTCCATGAATCATTGCGGTTTCAAGATCTAGTCTAATGCTGCTTAATATTGATTTCTGAAGTTTTTTTATTATAACTTTTTAATTTTTTTTTGTTAACACACTTCATCGATCAATATTCTATTCACTGTGATTCAATTTTTTCATTAGTGGCGGGCTCAAATAGGATTATTACAGTTAAATGCACCCTATTGCATTAACGCCATTGTAACTGATATCGGTAGAATTCCAAAAAACTAAAATTTGTTCGTGGAAAATTTAGTACCGACAGGCAAAGGTTCTTTTGTTCATCATTTTTTGTATGGGTTTTTATATTTTCCTCCATTAAGGGAGCACAGTCAGGATTTTTTTCTGTATTCTCCTTCCGAAATTTTTCGCAGCTGTTAACCAAAAACTCCTTAAAATGCAACATCTCATTGATCGACGAAGCATTTCCAGCTTATCAAGCTTATCACAAATTTATTAATTTATCAGTACCAGCCACATCGCTGGGCATCCAAAGGTGTGTCTACGGAGGTATTTTAATCGCAGTCTGGCAAAAACCGGGCAGTAAAGGAAAAAGTGAAAAGATGATTCCATCTGACGTTCCTCCGTTTTGCTTTCCCAGAGCTCGTCCAACAAAATAATTAGTCCCACCGCGTGTAAGCCTATTGAAGTCTATTCAGAATATCTATAACTGTGGCGAAATTCACGCTAAGAGCCAGTAGATCGCATGACCTCTTACGGTTCACTCTGGGCCAGAAAAATCTCGCAACAATAGGCTCTAGTCGTTGGTGCTGAGCGCCATAAAAATCTAAGTTTGGAACACAAGAAAACTTCAAAAAATCAACTAGTTGCCAAACGGGATATGCAAGCTCCTTGGTTAAGAAGTTTCCCGCGCTTCCGCTTGAAGCTGTTGCCAATGAGGTCATGCACTATTTCACTGATTATGAGCTGAAGCAGGCGGCACTTCGCAGCAGTATATCTACCGCTTCTTTGCAGGCAGTCACCTCCACGTGAAAGACGGTACAGTGATTTGGAAGCCTGACTGCAGCTGGTGGAGAGCTTCTGAGGAGTACACCTCTTAGCCTGCTTCTTAACTTCGAATCATCCGTGAGCAGGCTCACTGCACCTTTTTTCCAAAAGCTTTGCTCGATTCTGCTCCAGTTTCGCGTTGCAGTGGTCTAGATTAAATAATGCAAACGAAGTAGTGGAGAATTTCAAATTTCATTTGTGTGTTACTCTCTATGGCTCCTAATATACACAGCTTTTTTGATGCCTTCCTCACTCTGTCCTCGATGTTTTGCTTTCTTTATAGGAAAGACCCACTGGTCTCAAAATAGAGCATCCGAACGAGGACAGAATTACATCAGGGATTTTGAATCTGGTAGTGAATAAAACTTTCTCAGTTTTAGTTGGATTTATGGTTAATGCATTTCCATTTGTCCATTTGGTTACCACATTAAGATAGATACCTTTGGGTGAGATCGTAAACGGTGCTTAGGAATTTCCTTTTACCAAAACAGCTACATCGTCCAACCACGCAGCAGTCTCGTTTCATTCGTTTGCTTCAGTTAAACTCTTCAAAATACTCCGAGAACTTTTATTTCGAGCTCTAACTCACATGAGAATAATTCCACTTACCCTGTTCTACTTCGAGACGCTCTTCTACAAAGTGATTGCCAGTAATTTGGCAACAAATCGTGCGCATTTTCTCACACATTTTCCTAACACACCGACAAATATTATTATTACATATGTAAGTGATTTTCGTTGTTAATCTGCCAAATATGTGACAAAAAAATATCATTAATTTGATACAGCAGGCGAAATGTCGCTACATAAATCGAAAATGTGCTCAATAACAGGCGAACGAGCAAGCACGGGAGTAAAAGGACACTTGAGAATATGAAAAATCGACACACATTAATACCCCGCATTATCGGCAGCGGCACAATGTGTACATAAACACAAAGTAGAGCGAAAGGATAAAAAGGACAACGCATATGTTTATAGGTAGGACACTTCAAATGCACACACGCAAACAAAATTTATGTCAAGGATGCTGGCAAATGTTTTTTCAATATTTTTTCAATCGAAGCGTTTATTAATCTGTAGCGGTTACGCTTGAGCAACTTGACAACGGTGAGGATGCGCAGCCTGTTGGTTCCATATCAATATCCGTAAATATTGTTTCGACTGTTTTTAATCGCTTGTCAAGCGCAGCCGTATTCGGAAGTCACACACTCTTCACATTCGTCACGGCTAATTTGCAGTGACAATAAAAAAATACAACAAAAAGAGGCAGACAACATATATTGCAACATACCGACATTATTCTAATTAACAATAGTGCTGCTTTGTTGTTTTGTTTTTTCCACGAGTCGAAAGGTGTGCGAACCAGCGGGTCCTATATATATGTATATACATATATATTGTTTTTTTTTTTTTTTTTTTTTTTT